CTACAAATACAGTCTGTCATTTAGATATCGGTATTACGTTCCGTAATGATAGCTACAAGGGCATTAGATTTCATAGTACATAAATGGGGCCAAGGAGCCAACTTATCCTTCACCCCAGCAGCAAGAACGATTGATGTGATGTACAGGCTGAATTTTCTACTTCATCCCTCATGGTGATAAAATCACAATGCTTAATCTGAAAATAAGATAAGAGTCAAAGAAAAACTGACTTAATATATCATTAAAACGTTAATTGATCATCTTGCAACTTCAAAAGTTTACTTGACAAACGGTTGACATTCATATTGAGCAAGATTAATAATATTAGTTCAAATAAAAATAATTTTCCTGTATTTTCACAATGCTTTGGTTACATTACAACCTAGGAACACTGTTTATATACCAGTAATGGAAACAAAATGAAGATTTTTATTTTATGAATTCACTTATTCGTTCTTGAGGAAGAAGATTTCTATTTATTAATGTCACTCAGGTGGAGTGAGATGCTGCGATGCATGAAAACAGCTCAGCCATCTACTACCCTCGAGAATGACTCCATTTGGGGAAATCCATGTTGCCCTCTAGGGAAGTCGACAGCTGAGCCGTTGTGCAGTCCCTCGCTCCGCCCATGTCATGTCAACATTCACAAAACAACATGCTATCGTGAAGTCCATAATGTTACCATGGTGGTTAGCATTCATTGAGGAGATAATTACTGAATAAATGGTAACTTTCATGAACAGGATCTTGTTTTTTTCCGAGAATAAACAATAAAATGTGATTCAAAATGAGTTTAATTTGAATTTACTTTGAGAAAGCACTTTATAATTTCCATGTACATAAAATAAATGAAATCACAACTTACTTTGTTTCCAGGTTGCATCTTGAGGTCAAGATCAAGGGGGCAATCAGTTGGAAGAGGGCTAGGGGTCACATGACTGGTTGTGAAGCCTATGGGAGATCTTCTACAAGTTGTAGGAAGGACTGTGTACAGCTCCGCACCTGGAACAAAATTATCAACATTAGACAATGAATGAACAACGCAGGTTGTTTTAATATACAAAGCAATCTACATGACATTAAACATTAAACAGTTATGCATCAAGATTTACTAATCATGTATTAGAAGAGGAAATGAGAGCAATTACTATATTATCCTATGGGAGAACATAAATGAACTTTTTTCACCTATCAGAAATTTCACTGACTGCTCTTTAGGGATACAAATTTCCATGTAAATGCAATAAATGAAATCACAACTTACTTTGTTTCCAGGTGGCATCTTGAGGTCAAGATCAAGGGGGCGATCAGTTGGAAGAGGGCTAGGGGTCATATGACTGGTTGTGAAGCCTGTGCGGGATCTTCTACAAGTTGTAGGAAGGACTGTGTACAGCTCCGCACCTGGAACAAAATTATCAACATTAGACAGTGAATGAACAACGCAGGTTGTTTGAATATACAAAGTAATCTACATGACATTAAACAGTTATGCATCAAGATTTCCTTATCATGTAAGAAATCACTACTGTATTCTATGGGAGAACATACATGTAAGTGTATTTTTTTATAGTTTCACTGACTGCTATTTAGGGAAACAAATTCCCAGGTGAATAGAATAAATTAAATCACAACTTACCTTGTTTCTAGGATGCATCCTTGAGGTCAAGATCAGGGGGGGGGGGGGGGTCAATTGGAAGAGGAGGGCTAGGGGTCACAACTTCTATGAGGGCCTGTGTACATCTCAGCGCCTGGAACCAAAAAACCAAAAACAAAACAATTAACACATCAATTGCCTAATCAATCAATAAATTCAAGTCAGAACTTGAAAATCATTGGAAGCACCATCCGCTGAAATACCACCCATACCAACGCGAATCCAATGCAGTAAAGAGGGGCACATAAGCTGAAGCTTCAAGCCTCGACACCAAAGTAAAGTAAGTAAGTAAGTAAACACAGAATGAACACAAGAAATAAATCAAACATTCAAGAGTGATTTTCTCAACAAATAAAAAAGCTAGCAAGAACTAGTTCTCTACCCCTGGGCAAAACATGGAATCCCATTTCACAAATCAGATAATCATTAACTTTTATTTAGGGAAATATGTGTCTGTGTAAAAGTCAATATACACAAATGCACACAATGAATACGATGTGGCTGACCGGCAAGTTTGACGGTAGACATGCGATTTGAATTTTTTAATTATTTTTCTAACATCGGTGAGTTGAATTTTTTAATTTTTTATTGCTATTTAGGTGTCATCAATTGTCACTTAAGTACCGATTTTAAGTGAAATCAGTTGAGTTTTGTACAGTGGTGTTTGAAATGTTGAGATTCAAAAGAACAGCTTTTAATACACAGCCAAGGTCGTAATGGCTAATGCAGCCATGTAAGTCTAGACTGACTAGAGTCTAGACCACACATATATGTGCATTACTATCCTGGCTGTATATTAAAAGCTGTGCTATTGTCTTATTGATTCTCAACATTTCAAACACCACTGTACAACCCTCAACTGATTTCACTCAAAATCGGTACTTTCGTGACGATTGATGACACCTACATAGCATTAAAATACAATTTTTTCAACTTTCCGATGTTAGAAAGAATTATTTAAAAATTCAAATTGTGAGTCCACTGTCAAACTTTCGATCAGCCGCATCGGCATGATTGTGTGCATCTCTGTGTGTTACGAGTGTATCGACTATTCATGTAGGTCTATTCCAATCCTGCCTATGCAGTGCAGTGCTACTGGTCAATACGCAATAGCATTGACTCATCTTGACTTTTAATAGAAGTCTAGATCAAATCCTATTTGGAATTCAATCTAAAAACGTTATTACTAATAATCCCAGTCCCATTTGATGCCTGAACACATGAGGAAACTGAAATTCAACAGAAAATGAAATAGTTTCGGTCTTTGAGCCAACAATTGCACTGAAGACTCCATGAAAATCTATATGTGGGACAACACTATACAATCGATATGCACTACGCCCATTCGCGCGTTTTACTATTTTTAGACCATTTCGCGCCAGTTCACCCAACTTCGAGTACGTATTTCCGGTGAAAACATGATTTTCTCGTGAATTTGGGAAGCAGAATTCACTAATTTCCTGCTGAGGAACCTCAAATTGGACAACAGATTTGGCAATTTCAGACATTGCTGAACACATATCGACATCAAATGATCTTTTTCTAGTTTCGAACGGGTCAGGTTCACGAAAACAAATTTTAGTTACAAAACTAGGGACGAAAACTTCTCAAAATTAGGCTTCATTGCATGATGCTGTAAAACCGTAAGTTTTGCGGAAATATATCAACATTTCATATCATTCGAAAGGAAATTTTCTGGAGATCGACTTACCCAAACATGGCTGCTCAAAAACTGAGCATGCGCGAGAAAATAGAGTCTACGTCATCCCTTCCAGTATTCTCGCACGATCTCGTAACTTCTCGTTTGTGGATATTATTCATCGAGCTGTTTCCATCGCACGATAACGCTCGCACGAAATGCTCATTAGCGAGCGTGCAGCGGGCTGACTGTTGAAGTGCGCGCGATGCCGTTGCGCGGGGCCTTGATCACGAGTATATATAGTGAGTTGGCTGAAGTTAGAAGTCTAGTATAAAATTATAATCGATTCAAAACAGTTTCGGGGCTGAAGTTAGAAGTCTAGTATAAAATTATAATCGATTCAAAACAGTTGCGGGGCCTATATCACGAGTATGCCCATGAACCTTATACTCACATTCACATCTTTATTCAGATCGAAAAGAAATAAAGAAAATTGCACGGCTCAAATGAAACATTGAAGGATGTAAAAATGTTTAGCTGGCGCTAGTGTAATGCAGTTATTGCACAGCGTTAATTGTATATTAATGGCTTGAGCGCCGTGACACCGCGGGGGTTGACCGCGCAGAGGCATTTGAAATCATGTACGCGCTCGCTGGGAAAACGCATACCGGTAGTTCAAGAATATGCGTTTTTTTTTATTGTGACGTCACGCATACCTTTTCTCCCTAGAGAAAAAAAGGTACTATGCGTGACGTCATCTATAAAAAGGTACTATTTCGAAGTAGGCGGCAGGAAACGTCTTTTATAGTAAAACTATTCATTTTCTTGTTGTGTACACTCCTAATGCAACAATCTTACGATAAGGGATATAATATGTATTATATCCTGCATCAAAAATTTGTTGGCTTTTGATTAGTTGAGAGCTCGTCACATGACTAGAAATATTTGAGCTATTTTTAGAAAGTACTATATGAGAGTACTATTTTGGTTTACTATTTGGGAGTTGGAAAAAATGGTAATTTTTTTTTTGAATTGAATCAATTTTTTTTTTCAAATCTTAATCTAATGAAAACAAAATACTTTAAATCTTTTTAAATAAAAATTGACATTTTTTTTGTTCTAATTTTTTTTTTTTTTTAAATAAATTTTTTGATGTAGGATATAAAACAAATATACCATGCCTTCTATTTGAGGTACTGGTTAAACTATGGGCCTCGGTGACTCCAAAAGTACCATTTGCTTCGGGGCTGCGCCCCTCAGCAAATAGTACTATTGGAGTCACCTCTTGCGCATAGTTTTAACCAGAACCTCTCAAGGCAGTGTATATTTGTATAATATGCAATACGAATTAATAACATTCTTACTAATCCATATTGGAGGAACAGATGATATAGGCTCCTGAAAACAAAGGGGGAGTAGTATAACATACTCTCTTGCAGATCTCATTTTGATGTAATGTCATCCCACCGATACAATACCTTAAGTACCTCTTTTGAAATACATCAATATTATAACATGCTGATTCATTTGAACTATAGCAGAAATTGAGACGAAATAATCAGACTTAGTGAATGATAAAGTTACTGAGATGCAGATTTATCTGATATTAGCTGTGATTTTAAAAGGGGTTTATGTTAGTAAAAACAATAATTGGATCGCATCATGGATTTCCCTTTGGTTTGAACTGATAAATTATCTTGGCACAGATCCAGACGCTGAGTATGAAGGATGTTTCCATGATGACTCCCAGTCGACTACACTCCATTCTCGCGCTACCATGCCTCCAGTCACTCACCTTGAGGAATGTCAGAGAATTTAACACGGATGATAGAGAGACACTGGTGTGTATCTTTACTATTCCAAGAATGAAGTCGAAATCCTCTTTTTGTTCGCAAGCTAAAAAGGAACAGGATCAGAAAATACAGACAGACTAAATATGAATGATAAAGGAATTGCCAAAGGGTTAATTTATTTATTTTTAAATCAAGTTAAAATGACACACTACAGGCTTTTAAAAAGATCGAAGGATGGTTTTATATATATCAAAAATATATACATGCACATTTATAGCTTTTTCAACTTGGGATGAAGTTTAATCATGCACTTTTTTTCAAAGCTTGTTAAATATTGATTGATAAATGATTGCCATGATTTGCTATTTCCCATAAAGAATTCTGTTGCTTATTTTCTTCATTAAATTTATAACTTTCAGTAATGTGAAGTCATTTGATTTGTTGTTAGTCTAGCTTAACTAATATCACAATATAAAAGATGATTATCACAAAAAGATGATTAACACAATAAATGAAAGATGATAATGAATACTAAAATCCCGTCATCTTCCACTGAAAAAGGAGGATTAACCCTCATTAATAACTTGGCTTTGGTCATGTTGGTGGAAACAGACAAAATAAAGAAACTTATTAAAGAAGGTTTCTGAAAAACGGTCAAGAATAAAAACATTAAAAAATGTTGAATGTCGATAATGCTAAAGATATACGACATAATTATCTTATGCCATACAGGGGGATATCCTATATTTTTATTTTGTATCCAAAATACTGAAAATATCATTTTCAAAGTCTTATGATAGTGTTGTTCATCCGGAACGGCATCGCATGTGACTGTAATGACAATCAAAGATTCTCTATTTCATTTATAATCTTGGCTCCCAAAGTTAAAAGCTATTGTAATCTGTGTCCATTTGCCACAAACCTACCCGGTTGTTTATTTCTACTTCGGCAACTTACATTGAAATGATGAAAACCCTTTAGGTGTTATTGTATATTTGTGGAATATTTACCAAGCATGATATGAACAATTCTATATAAACACAATGAGTCAGTTTATGTAATATAATTTCTTACATTAATAGCGTTGGTTTTCATACATACTAGCATATATAGTGAGCCTTTTCGTATTGCTTTTTTTTTTTAGACTGGTCAAACATTCTCAGTAGATGAGCTTTCTGTGGATGGTATGCATGTGACCATCCTGTGGAATTTTGGACTTCATACGTCATGTCCAAGAGTTCAAAAACTCCTACTGGACTGGTCAGCCATGGAGAATGTCTCATCAGACATCGTCACAATGGCCTGCTCTCCATTCCATGATCTAACTCACCTTCACATCCGGGGACAGATGCCCTTCAGAGCATCCACACTGAATGATCCTGTGTCATTTTGCGATGCTGTTAAAACGTCATGTCCTCGACTCACCAAGCTGTCCCTTACCAACATTGTCCTGACCAACAAGAAGGCAGCTGAGATCATCCAACTCTTGAAGACTCATCCAAATCTGACAAGCATAGAGTGAGTCTCATTTGATTTACCAGGGTAATGATTGCCACATGATAATAACAAATCTGTTTTTATTTTGTGGATTGTATTTTGGTTTACCTTTTTATTGCGAGTTTCTTCTCTTCATTTGCTAACTTTCTCTCCCCCTCTCTCTCTCTCTCTCTCTCTCGCCCCTCTCCCTCTAACTATGTCCCTCTCTTTTAATTATTTTTTCCCCTCTTTTTTTAAGCTCTCTTTTTATTCCTTTCTCCCAACTCTCTTTCCAGCATTTCACTCTCTTTATCATCGCCTCTTTCGCTATCAAACAACAACTCTCTGTAAAAGAGATGGTTTGAAGTTTTTTACTGCACGATACAAACCTGTATAAATAAAAATTACGGCATAGAATTATGCTGTATGCTTACATGGTATTGATACAAATGGAATACCTGATTATGTTTGATCTCATAAGAGGAAAACTAGCGTTGATTGAACGCAGTGAGTTCTTAATATCAAAAGAAAATTGATTTTGGCAAAAATACTCTGCCCAACAAGCAATCTATCGTCATTGTCACTGAATTGGATTTTATGCGAGGTCAGGGGTAGCTGCATTAAGGCTTGGAATGAATCTCGGATGGTTAAAAGGCTGCATACATGAGTGGGTTGTCTAAAAGATTAGATGATTGGGTGCTGTATAGGGGATTTTACCATAGTTTACATAATCTGATGATCTCTTCATTTCAGGATTTATTCATATCAATATAATTTTCTTATTATAAATGTTATTCAATACTTTATCTTATTCATCATGATGTATCCTACATACCTGTACACAATGTTAATACCATGGTTATTTGCAGTCAGGCAATATAAATACAGAGCAATATCATGCAAGGTTGGATGTGTAATTGTCATCTATTCTCACACCACATAGCATACATCTCTTATGGCTTTTAAGAGAGTATCGAAGGTCAGGTTTGTTCAAAAGATCATGTATGATCCCGAAATGTACTATTTTATTTCTATAGGTTGAAAACGTGTGATACCGACATGGATCTGATCCACTGATTTATGAGGTGAACAGTGAAGGCAAGCTGACTGTCACAGTGACTTAATTTTAGGTAAGATATAACACTAGTTTACATGGCCATCCTCTGATTGATTTTTCCTCCCTCTTTCTTGCATTCCATCATTTCGAAGTAGGCTAGTTTTTTTTTATTATCCATATTCAACTCCGCCCAATCGTTACACAAGAATGTACAGTACATATATTTCGAGCTTTCTTTCATGTGTTTATTCTGGCCCAATGTAACAAACTTAGAGAAAAAGACTTTTACACAACTATATGAACATTTATAGTGAAAAGGTACATTTACTTCATGGACACGATGTATAAGGCAAAATGCTCATTGTACTTCATCCTCTTTTTTATAAAACGATATGACCTGAATATGTGATGAAAAGATGGAAAATGTCTGTATCTTTTCTAAAGGTCTAATTGTTAAAAAAATCAAATGACCATGTAGCAAGCATCTTACAAACATAAACTCCACCAAGCACCGTGGCAAAAAGTAGATAGATTAAATATGCTTCTTACATTAATGCAATATCAATAAGTTTGAATATACGAGTATTTATTGGAAAGCACTTTTTCGAGTCACACTGATCTATTTTTTCTTCAAATTTTATTAACTCTAACTGTACTGGGCTATTTTGAGCGCCCTCTGACTGGGGGGGGGGGGCCTGGGAGCCACCCCTCCCCCCCCCCCCCCATGATCTCGGCCATCGAATGTCCGATGAACACGAAAATTTGCATATTTGTAGATATTTATGTAAGGAACAAGATGGTATAATTAGTTTTTTCCTAATATGCAAATTTTTGTCATTTTAGCATAATTAATTATGCAAAATGCTAATTTATGCATTTTACAGAAAACTCTACATATTTGTCTGTAGACTTGTGACGAATCTTGAAAATGTATTGAATAAATGTTTCCTTCATCTCAAATTCACGAAGTTTCGTAATTTTTGTGATATTTGAAAATGCATTGGTTAATTTGCATAAATTATGAATACGCAAACTACGCATTCATGAATATCAAATCTGGAACTATATTTAGGGAACTAGAATCATTTCAAACATTGTCAGACTCCACTTTTTGAATGTTGAAACTCATTATTCATATGAAACTTTTTTTCTAACACAAAATAGTTATTTGATGTAATTAATAATGATAATTTATGCAAATTTGATGCAATTTTCAACTATTTATTTTCTTATGTATTTTATTGTTTTTTATTTCTTATTATATCTGTTGTTTTATTTCTAATGTATTCTTTTGTTCTGGAATACATCAAGTTACTCTGAGAAACATATAAAAGCAATTTGATATCAATTCATATCTTCACATTTCTGCTTGTACATGAATATATGCAATTATAGCACTTTTTTTATGACATGCGCATACTAATTGTTATGTAACACCTTACAGGTATATCCAATTTTGACAAAAATGGTATCAAAATGTGCGCAAGACTTGAGGGAAAAAAGTCAGGGCCCCCCCCCCCCCCAGTACAGTAAGGGTTAAAGATTAAAAGTGTTTTGGTGGCCTGCATTTTTTTCTAATCGAACCTCCTCTTTATTCTCCCTTCTGGAATTAAAAAATAATATAGTATTAATGACTGCTTTGAGAGAAATAGTTGTTTTATTACGCTCAAGGGAAGGTTAGAATTGTGCTATTCCCTGAGGCTTGCCGAGGGGAATAGCCCAATTCTAACCTTCCCGAGAGCGTATGAAAACAACTATTTCTCGAATATTAAAGCAGTCATTAATACTTTTATATGCCGAAAAAAAATAGACTAAAAAATGAAAAATTAAAAAATATTTATCAGTTTTGTCGAAGACGGGATTCGAACTCTTGCGTACAACAAGAGATGTACCGAAAACCAACGCTTAGACCACTCGGCTATGGCCCGCCGTTAACATGTTCGGCAGTTTTCTCCAATATATACATTAAAATGGATTGAAACCGGCTTCGCGTGTGACGAATGCTTCGCAAAAGCTCCATATACGGACTCTTCTTTTACTTTTGCAATGCATATTGGCACGAAACTTCGATCAAGATCTATCGGCAGATGTTGTTTTTAATACTAGCAGTCATTAATACTTTTATATGCCGAAAAAAATAGACTAAAAAATGAAAAATTAAAAATATTTATCATTTTTGTCGAAGACGGGATTCGAACTCTTGCGTACAACAAAAGGTGTACCGAAAACCAACGCTTAGACCACTCGGCTATGGCCCGCCGTTAACATACTTGGTAGTTTTCTCCAATATATACATTAAAATAGATTGAAACCGGCTTCGCGTGTGATGAATGCTTCGCAAAAGCTCCATATACGGACTCTTCTTTTACTTTTGCAATGCATATTGGCACGAACTTAGATCAAGATCTATCGGCAGATGTTGTTTTTTTGTTTTTGGAAGTTTATTTTCGTCTTCATGTCAACAATGCAAGATAAAATTGTCGGTAAGATCGATCGAGATTCAATTGTATTGAAATTACCGACCAATCCTTCGCACACATACGGCATCCTCCATCGCTCAAACCATTTTTTAACATGTAAACCTATGGGGTAACCATGGACGCTGACCAACTTTTTTTAATAACCATGGTTATTAAAAATATTGAAATGTTTTATGCATGGTTACCGAGAATTTTACAGGAACAGTTGAAGTTTATGAATGCAATTCGACCAATCAGATGGCTGGATTTCTTAAGTGAGGTATATAACAACAAATAATCCTCACTAATATTAACAAATCCTCAGAGCCTATGGAGTCAATTCAAATCTAATTTTGGTTTTACTAAATGATATCCTAGTATTTAATCATGATCAATTTCTCTGAATATACATGTATGATTGAATTAATTTCCATTAGTTCCTGACTAAAGGTAAAATGAAATCAAACAAACATCCCTATACAAATGATTGTAAATGATTGGAAGCTTAATTTTTGACTATTAGCAAATCATCCATTGTTTCTTTGAATGGTATGTTTCATTTATTTTCTCATTTACACATAGTTTTATTTGTTTTCTCATTTACACATAGTTTAATATGTAAAAATGATTTCTTGTATTCTTAGGTACTGCCATTACCATAATGATGGATGGAAAGATAACCCTCAAGTAATATGTGATTTGCCATCAAGATACAACGTATCAACATTTTAAACACATTGGGAGGTGACCCTCATCAGACCAAATGATGGCAGCAGACTACTTTGGATTTGAAAATGATACCTGTCAAATGTAACCAGGCTACCCGAATAACTAATTTTACTAATTGAAGGATCATTAGAGTTAAAACGTATGGAAAACAGTATCTTAAGCAATTAATGATTATACCCTGTCATGATACTTTTCATGAATAACTTTATAATTACGTTGAAGCATATATGGAGCTCCAAGATAAGCAAAGGTTTGACGCCTTGTGTGCCCTCACCATTTGATATAATAAAAGAGGCTTCCTGGTGATGTAAATAGTATAGATTATTAATGTTAAAGACATCGTTTAACAATGTTAAATCTCAGATGCACGGCCCTACGTGTTTTCAGTGTCTTTGATATGGTGTAATATTGAAGCCCTAAAAAATTGCGCTTAAAAATGATCATGAAGTGCCTCAAAAAAGTAAAAAAATCTTTGAGTGACCGGTTTTACCATACTCGTTTTCCTATCCCTAATAGACTGTAGTGTTATGAAAACCGTTAGGAAAACGCAAAATTTGGTTTCGATTTCCAATCATAAGTATTTTGATAATCAGACAGGCAATCGGCTTGTAAAAGTCATGGGGTTCCTGACTGACTTAAAGGTTTATAATTATCATTGCAGCATGAGCTAAATCCAGGATTTTGTTTCAGAATTTGAGACAAAGTTACCCAATCCCTTTAAAAAAATCTATGCAATACAACCTAGAGCAGACAATATACAGCCTACAACTACATCTCTATCTCTCGCTTTGTCTCTCTTTCTCTCTCCCTCTCTCCCTTTCTCTCTTCCTCTCCCTCTCTGTCTGTCTCTATCTCACACTTTTCCTGGATCTCCTGTGCTGTCTGCACTATTATCCTCCCTACCTCTCTTCTATATTTCCCTCAAGCCCTGTGATGATTGTGGAAAAGAATGTTAAGCGAATTGTATGAATTGTATTAATTTGTATATATATGTGTACACTGATTTTTTTAATTCATTCACTGCGTGATATGTCTTAATACGTTTTATGTTTGTATAAATATTTATGTTTTTACAATGTACAAAGTTCTGCAATTCAACCATCTGGCTGCAAATGAATTTTTAATAAAACCATTACCATTTGAAATTTGAAATTTATTTGATTTCCAGGTACATGTATAAACAAAATAGGAATGACAACACAGAGCATATAACATTAAGAGTAACAAGACAGTAAAAAAGCCACCAGCGGACGCCTGAGGATTACCTAAAAGAATTTCCATTCTGTCAAGAGGTTCTCCACATCCACTGGTGTTACATATAAATAGATTTAAGAAGTAACGGTAAAATAACATAACATAATTCAAGTTCATCCATCAAGCACAATAACTAATAGAATGATTGCATGTATGTTGAACTTTGTGGCATGAAGAAAATAACAATCATGTACGGCATGTAACTGTAAAATAAAATAACATAATTCAAGTTCATTCATCAAGCATAATAACTTATAGAATGATTGCATGTATGTTGAACTTTGTGGCATGAAGAAAATAACAATCATGTACGGCATGTAACGGTAAAAATAAAATAACATAATACAAGTTCATTCATCAAGCATTACCATTACCAACAAGCTATGTTTTAACTTTGGCTCCTTCATTTCCTCATTCCAATTTTACTGAAGTCTTTTACTAGTAGTTACAAAAAAAATCAAATTGATTTGATATATTTTATAACTAGCGTGTCAGTATTCATAATACGTCTGTACTGTTACTATCATTACATTTCTTGTAAATAAAGCTGAAATTGTGTAACCTGAAATGCGAAATATGAAATGTACTGGACTAAACTGAGGTGAATCAGAACAAATCCAAACTCTCTGTTGATTGTTTAATAAGAACTCGAACTGGTTTGAGTTTTCTCATATTGGCTATACTGTAATGATAGTGATAATATGTTGCATTGTACTACCATAACATGGTCATAAGGAATCATATCCGTAAGGATCTGTTGATATATCCTTCATCACGGTGATGAGCTTTCCGGTATACCAGGATTTATTTCATGAACGACTTTGTCCTGTTTAACCGAATATTCATCCATTATCAAGAAAGATTGTTGAAAATACCCTGTGTAGAATGTATATACCGGTACTTGCTTTAGACAAGCTTTTGTCTTATTTCTGTCGTATCCAATAATTTCTTGCTTTTGAGATTGAAAATATTTTTCTAAAACGTTGTAATTACATTGAGGACATTTTCATTTTTGTAATAATGTTCATCGATTTGCAGGACTGCTGTAACCCATTATTGATATCCGGAATGGGAATGAATTGACTATGTAAATATATTTATAAATGTATAATGTTCTCAGCTAAGGAGTCATATTGCATTCATTCCCGTCTTTCTACAAATGTTTTTTTATATCTGAATTTATTTTATAAATATGTATGGGGGTGTGTAGTTTTGGATGTGAATAAAGTGTAAACAAAGAATACGTGTGACGAGTTCAACAGTAAGACTAGTGAAATATGGAATTTGTTTCAAAAACAAACAATGCTTGTAACTATCTCATCAGTAATTGTAGAGACAACAATTCCATGGATTTATCTAAGCATTAAGTCTTGTAGAATATATCAAATGCATGTAATTTGATTAAAATTATTGTTTCATCATGTGATAAGTAACTTACTTGGTTATCTTTAATACACCTAATACATCCATGGCTATATGGATTTTATGTTTGTTGAGTTAAGATGTTTTGTTATATTTGGTAAAATATTTGTGTGTGTGTGTGTCCACCTAGCTGTTCCTAATCGACGGTCAGCTCCAGGAGGACAACAAAAACGTTGGCGTTATCTGTCCGGCTGGACAGATATATGGCTCATCCAAGTACATTGTTATTACTCATCAATTTCTCATTTTTATTTTGTTAGATTAATCAGCATGAATAGAGTTTCATCTAGACTGACCATAGTAAGTTTCATCGTTGAGATATCAATAAATTAGTGAACCTACCATGATTCAAGATATTTATTAGTATAACAAGAAATATCTATTTAAAGACAACACTTGAAGGGAGATTTCCCAGAAGTGCAGATATTACAAGACATAACACTTTACTAGTCGCTATTTTCCTCATAAGCCTTAGGAAATTGTAAATTGAAGGAAATGTAATCCCTTCGACTTTTATCCATACTAGCTGACTGTATATCAGAGTTTTTAATTATGTTAATTGTGTGTGTACATAATCATACATATACGCAATTTCAGAGGAATACACGATGGTAATAAAATGTCTTGGTTCATGTGTTTAAAAGACAAAGTTCGATCCATAACTGATTGAACTCATGGGATTCAAAATCATCTTGTTGAGAGAGAGCAGAATAGAAGGGGATATATCGCAAGTAATTGAATAAAACAATTATGATAGTTATTTACATTTTGAATTATCGCCTCAGAGCTTTATTCACGTAAACTGGAATAAGTCGGATAAGGAGTGGGTAACATGAAGAAAGAAAGAGAGATGGCAAAGCTCTTTTCACAGAAAACGAGAGAATTGGATTGGAGAGTGTGAGAAAGAGAGAAGGACATGGTGTAATTAGACGGAGAAAGGTGGAAACTAAGAGAAAGAGAGAGGGAGGGGAGAGTAAAGAAAGAGAGAGAGAGAATATAGGAATTAATACAAACGCGCAAACATGATTCTCACACATGTTTTAATGAAAAACGGTATCAATTTTCCACTGGCTGTCTGCCCTAACAACAAAGAAGACGAAAGACTTCATGCATGATGGTCAACGAAACATAGTTTGTTGCTACGGTAGGCAGCCAGTGAAAACTAATTCATTTAATAAAGTTATGGAAATGCAAGCATTACTTTAAAAAACAGAAATTTGTTATTCCTGGCTCATTTTTTCCTGATTGAGGATTTGATTGAGGTGTCATATAATATGAAAGGGCAAAAAAATGAACTTTCTGGAAATGTGATTTTCTCTTTGAAATTTACGTACGCCAAATGACTTTTTGGTACCCTTGTTTCAAATTGTTATTAATTACTCATGCGTGAAATATGCATCATATTATGAGTTGCATCAAATGAAAGAGGAGGATCTAAGCCTTACAAATATGTGTCATTTATTATAATTGTGATTAAGTTATAATGAAAAATGCACTGTAAACATTAGTCATAATGAAGATCATGAAGTATATAGATAGAAGTTAGCTATATAATTCGACCACGTCATAATATTATTATCTCATTAATTCTTTCTACATGCCTTCCACTTAAGCATACAGAAAACCCAAACCTTTTGTTTGGGGTACACTGTACATCATCCTCCGGGACATCATCACCCTCTCTCACTCTCTCTCTATATATATATCTCTCTCCATTTCTCCCTCTCTCTCTCACACTCTCTTATGTATGATGTATGCATACCACCTTAACTTATCACTTTTGTTTTGATGCCTCCGATTATCATGATAATACACTTTTAGACTGAGGAACAACATCGCGAAAGGAGCGTGAAAACAATTACTATGAATAAATTGGGTCTCTCTTTTCTCAAACACAAATTAAACATGAAAGGTCCTGCAATAAGAGTCACACGTGCATGAGGAAACAAACATTGGCAAAATGTCAAATGTTCCTTGATTCAAACCAAACTATCATTTTCTTTCTGTTTTAATAGAATCACAAAAACATCTTTCGATGTTTCTTTTCATTTCCTACGGCATACAAATTATATACTATGCAAAATTTATACAAAGCATGATTACATTTTAAAACAGAGAACAATCTATCAATTAATATCTCGAAAAAGGAAAAGTAGAATAATTTTAAACAAAATTCGTTTTATATACGATCTATGCATCAGGCGCGGATCCAGGAATTTCTTGCCGGGGGGGGGGGGCACCGTGTAGGAAAGAGAACAAATAGTATTTTTTTTAGTCCCCCCCCCCCCCCCAAAAAAAAAAAAATCGCAACGACTCAGCCAACCGCTGAATAAGCGGGGGGGGGGGGGGGGGGGGGGGGGGGGGGGGTAAGAGGACATTTTTTATTTTATTTTTGGTCACGAAATTTTTAAATTTGACATTTTGCTCCGTTGGGGGGGGGGTATGGTCACCTTTTTAGGTCAGCCATTGGCATATTTTTTGTTTGTTTTGTTTTTCAGTGTATTTTGGGCGAATTTAGGGCTGATTTTTGGCCATATTTTTTTGGCCGGGGGGGCACGTGCCCCCTGTGCCCCCCCCCCCCCCCCCTGGATCCGCCACTGTGCATCTTCACCTTTAATTTAAATGTGGGTATATGATAGGGGTGACAGACGGTCTAGTGAAAGTATAACAGATAACGGATTCGTTTTTTCATGACGAAAGATGGCGCTAGATTACTACATGCGCAAAATGGCCTGAACGTACTGTAAATTGGTCGAAAGCATAGAGAGTCAATGCGTCAAAAGGGGATTTGGAGCATTTCTACAGTTTAGTAAATTAATACAAATTTATTAATAGGTGGTGGTTATATATTTGCCTTATATATTTGTGTGGTAAATCGCTCGATGGTATCATTATCAGTCAGATGCAAATGGTGGTGAAGTCACTGAAGAATTAACATTCAGCTCATCCATACTACCAGACCATAACAAGTGCACACGACGCTGAGCCTGCGCCTGAGCCTGATCCCTGGCTGAGCTGAGCTGGCCGTACCTACGCCCGTGGTGAAAATACTGTTGAGGTATTACTATTAAATTCATATTCCAGTTTATTCATAGCAAATGTACATAACGCTGAGATGAGTTGGTGAAAATTGTGCGTAGTGTAGCGTAGGTTGGTGACGAACGGGATGGATGAAGAATTAATAATGTCCAGTTTATTCAGTAGTCTACAATCAATGCTAATGCGTATTGACCTCTAGCACTGCACTACGTGTTAATAGGCAGCATTTGAATACATGAATAGTCAATACACTCACAACACGCAAATGCACACAATCATGCCGATGCGGCTGATCGGCAAAGTTGACAGTAAACTCACAATTTGAATTTTTTAAATTATTCTTTCTAACATTGGAAAGTTGAAAAAATTGTATTTTACTGCTATTTAGGTGTCATCAATTGTCACTAAAGTTCTGATTTTTAGTGAAATTAGTTGAGTTTTGTACAGTGGTGTTTGAAATGTTGAAAATTAAAAGCACAACTTTTAATACACAGCCAGGGGGGTGTTTCACAAAGATTCTAAGTCGAACTTAACTCTAAGTTGAACTTAAAAGTTATGGAGAGCCATTTGTAGCCTTAAAATTAAATATATTCAAAAGCAAAAAATCAAGTATTTTAGACTTTCCAGGATAGTAATGCACCTATGTGTGTACTAGACCTATAGACCATGGTAATACATGTATATACTAGGTGATAGAAAATGTCCTTGAAGCTGAAGCTCACACTGCAAGCTGCACTATCCTGGCTGTGTATTTGAAAGCTGTTCTAGAATCTTTATTGATTCTCAACATTTCAAACACTTCAAAATTGGTACTTTTTTTAGTGACAATTGACGACACCTAAAAAAGCAGTAAAAATACAATTTTTTTTCAACTTACCGATGTTAGAAAGAACAATTTAAAAATTCAAATCGTGAGTCTAGAATTCATCTACTGTCAAGCTTGCCGATCAGCCGCATTCATTGTGTGCATTTGTGTGTAGATCTATTGACTATTCATGTGTGCAACTGCTGCCTCTTTGCACGCAGTACAGCGCTAGAGGTCGATGCGTATTTAAAGGTAAAGACCAGTATTGGAAACGCCCCAATTTCAAAAAATGAAATGGAAGCTCATGTAGTGATGTGGCTGTGTGAGGTAATGTGAATGGATATTTGAAAGCGTGTTCACTCGTCACACAACATAACACTTATTTTTATTTTAGCTACGAGGAAGCAAGGTTGCACTGACAATAAAATACAAGAACAAAAGTATTCCCTTTTCGTTATGTTTATTGGGTACTGAAGAGGCTGGCCGTACACTTGCAAAGTGTAGCCAAGCACAAGCGATGACTCGGAATGAGAATTGAAGATATTGCACATAGTTACATTGAAATAGTAATGAATGAGAATGGACATGAATAAATGGAATTAATGACATGAATAAAACCTTACGACTGAATAGAAATGACGTCGAAAGTCCAATGAAGATGAAGAGAGTTGAGAACGAAGGAAGGGGCTCACGCGATGAATGTACGGAGGCTTGAAGGCGGAGATGCAGCTTCGTATACGTGGCTGAAAAGCGGTGAAGGATCTCGACGCTGACGCTCGTGATAAAGATGTGGTAAAAGCTCTCAGGCGAGAAGAGAAGAGAAGAGAAGAGATGTGGCGCTCAACGACGAAGCAGTGAATCGCTTGATGTCGGAGGCAAGAGTATGCAAAGCCGGTGATGAATTAAGACGGAGCAGTGAGTCGCTCGATGAATGATCCGGACTTTGATGGAGAAATGTTTAGATGAGCTGCGGTAAAATGTCTGAGCTCGAGAGTGGAAAGAGCTACCGGAACGAAGACACTGGCAGCTCCCAGCGGAGAGTCAGGCGCCATGTCGGTGCTGACTATAACGTTCCACTGGGAGACTGCAGCCCGATGAACACGGCAGAAAAAGAGCTGACGTGCCGTAAAATAGACGACAGGCACAGAAGAATGAAGCCTGGAGAGGAAATTATGGAGACGTCTTGACTCGACCAAGGTGAAAGCGGGAGTGGAGAAAAACCTTGTGGCGTTGAAAATACGCGGGGTGAATAGTGCGGAACCACGATGCGCGATTGGAAGGAAAAACACACGTGGTCCGAATAATGCATATAAATAAGTAGCGTGATGGAAAATAGATGGAAAAATACTGTGAACATGAATGTACGATGAAAGGAGGGCGAATGTAAGAGCCGCTACACTCTTATTACCAATCTTGTGAAAGAATATGTTTTGACTAATACATGATGATAAAAATTTTGCTGGGAAACCGCCTACTAATTGATATATTTGGTAAATTAGTTTATCTATTGGTATGTGAGAGATAAACGCACGTGTCGCGCACGTGTGCGTAGTCCCATATACATCTTTCTGTGCACAGTGCTTGTAACTTTACAAAGACCAGGCCAAATTTCTTATCATTTTGATGATTCCAGAACCTTGCAGTATACACACCAATACTTATATGCTAGATGATCAACCTTTTCTGATCGATTCCACAACGTTTCTTTCACAATGCAATCGCATGACCATAACTGGTCTTTATCTTTAATAGCATTGACTCTCTTAGACAGAAATAACCATCTGTGGTATGGGTCATTCTTTAATAAAATTGACATTTGTCAACATTCCCCATACTGAGGCGGTCAGACGTAGCGGAACAACCGTCGATATCAGAGACTGAAGGTTTCGGTCTATGACTCTCTAACAAAATTGAATGGAGAGTGAGATTCTTCAATTGTCGATAATCTATATTCTTCAACAGCTGCACACAGCCTTTAAAAAAATAGAACAAAATTCATCTGCATGGTTCCAGTCTTGCGAAAGGGCAAATAACTTCTTGTGTAACTTTTGCCCCGCTTCCAAAGTATAATTCTTATGGTATGAAAATGGTGGCTGTCCAGACAAACCCTCTAGGGTTTTTATACAGCAACCTAATTCCTATTTGTTTGTTTTTTACTGTCAATATTGTACTATGTTAATAATAATTATGTAAATGTAATATTTTGATGTTACTGTTTTTTTTACTATGGAATAAAATAAATACTGAACTTGAAATGTGGGAATTTAGATTATAGATTTTGTTCAATTTTGGTTTATTTTTGTTTTGCTCAATTTTTTATTTTATTTGTATAGCTTGTCTGACCAGCAGCAGGAATGATGGCGACGCTACCAGGCTTGGCTTTCAACCTCCAATCAGTGGACCAGGCCCCTTGCCCCGGTTGCTCCTCGTTTCTAATGGAACCCTACATCAGATGTGCAATATGTGGTCCTCCAAAAATTGATCTATGTCTCCAGGTAGGTCTATGTGTATGGTAGACATATACCGGTACTAGTAATTTTTTACACTAAACTTTTTAAAGAGAAGGTTGAGTTCTGGGAAGAGGTGAAAAATAATTTGTGAGCATTACTCATTCTTATTATGCAAGCGTGGAAGAACATCAGTTAAGACATGTTCCCTGAAAAGCATGGCTCTTCAAATGCCTTCATATTCTAATGCATGTAACATCGTAAAAATCGGGGGCCGGTTTTTTACACCACGTGTTCGTGTAGTCCCATATACATCTTTCTGTGCAAGTGTTTGTAACTTTACCAAGACTTGGCCAAATTTCTTATCATTTTGATGATTCCAGAACCTTGCAATACACACAAATTCTTATATGCTAGATGATCAACCTTTTCTGGTCGGTTCCACACCGTTTCTTTCACAATGCAGTCGCATGACCATAACTCAACTTTATCTTTAAAGGCTTGTGCAGACATGACCTGACAAAACCTCTAGATCTATGTGGTCTTTTTCACATGATTAGATCTTTTTAATAAAAGGTTGCATGCAAGTCCTTTGTTGTGTGCAGTTGCCATTAATTTGTTCAAGTAAAAAAAAACACTGCAGTTTTTTTTGCGTTGGTTTATTGACCATATCTAAACAAGCCTTCAGAGTCACTGGTGTCTTTTTTTTTTCTCGCGACAAAAATGGGTAAAAACAAAGGTTGATATTCATGAAAGATGTTGCATGCTCAATTTAGGAAGGCTTCAGTCTTTAGATTAAAGGTTGGGTTAGTCATATTCTTAGCAAGACACTAATCTACATTGGGCACTCTTGACCCCCGGTTGAGGTAAATGGATACTGAGTAAGAAATATGAACTTCCTTGAACTAAAGGGTAGGTTGAGGGTATAGGGTCAAAGTCTGCGGGCAGCTGGGATATGCATGTTGTTGTTGTATGTTTAAAGGCGTGTGTCATTCATTCATGAATATTTACTGTATGGTACAGTAGCCTCTTTACAATGCACAAATGTTTAATCACACAGGCTATGTTTTTACCTTTATTTTTCAGTGTTTCTCCAAAGGCTGGGAAGATGGTAAACATCAAAGCAACCATGATTATGAAATCATCGTGAGTAGAAATTGAGGATAGCTTTGAATAGCTTTTGACCCTTTCACTGATTTCCTGCTTCCAGTAGAGTTGATTTCCTATAAAAGATTAATTCTTTAGTATTTGTTATCATTCATGAATTTGTATTCAATGAAACAATACAAGTGTTGTGGTTACACATACATACCGTACATACATATAAATGTAATGATCAGAGTCGGATAAATATGTCAAAAGGGATAGATAAAGAATGCAGAGGATACCTTTTTAACAATTATTTGATTTGCCAAGGTAAATTTGTATGTCTGTGTAATCATGGTGATTTTTTCAAAAATCTACTATTGTCTATTATCAATTACCATTTTAACCATTTTTTAGTGTTGCATACACGTAGCTATAATGATAATGTTATTGATGGTAATACATGTATTTCTATTTCTTCTCAGACTAATGGCTTCTCATTGTTTGAACCAAACTGGACCGCCAAAGAAGAAAAGGCTCTACTTGAAGGAGTTTCAGATTACGGCTTAGGAAATTGGTAAGATGAAATTTATTTTTCTCTTTAGTATCTATGGTCAAGATAAAAAAGTTTGTCCAAACGAAGAAATTGACGTTGGAAGCTTCACACACGGTAACATTAATGCATATTTTCAATGCATATTGTGAGTCTGTTTGATAAACCAATGTACTCGCGAATAAGTGTGAACTGTCACTTTATGAAGGTTTATTTGTTTTTGAGGTTTGACAGATATTGTTATCAAGACTTGTTGTTTATCATGTGGGGTAGCCAGTTATTTATATAGATCTCCGTCAACTGAAAGGTACCATTTGAAACACCAAACCAGGGAAAGTCGGTCAAACTGCCCCACTCCAAAGCAAAAATTATTACTTACATCTTGACATTTTACTCTTTTAAAGTATAGTATGCTATTCCAATGGTGATGAATTTATGTTCTGTTTTTTAAAAAAATTGTTTCATTATAATAGGTTTTACTTGTTTTCTATTGAAATGTACGATGTCATGTACTATTAAAAGGTATGATGTCATGATTTATTAATAGGTATGATGTGTCCAATCAAGTAACTGGTAAGACCAGACAGGAGTGTGAACAGCACTATAACAAGGTCTACGTAGATCATCCAAAACCACCTCTCTTTGGTAAGTCTGCCTATAGATGTCTTCCTCTACCAAAGACCTATTCTAATGTTCCAATATGTTTTTACCTATTTCTCCTTATCCTACGGTCTCAGCATGCTGTGATCCAGGACATTGTTACAAAACCTACAATTACAATTACCTACATGAAGAGCTACAGCTTTGGACCACCTCCCCCACCCCACCCAAGACACTAAACTCCCCCCCCCCACCCCCATCCCAGGACACTAAACTCCCTACCCACAACAATTATCTTGGGGTCAATTTACTTCCGGGAATCTTACCTTCCATTAAATAGTATGAGATTTAACCTTAGAAAACTACCTACAGTGGGTGATAAGAATACAGGGGGAGGGGTGAAATCTGTGCTTAAAGAGCAAACAAAAATTGTTAATGCAGTGCTTGATGAAAGTTAATTTACCAAATGTGTAGGCAAATTTTGGTAAAAAGGTGTAGTCATCTTTTATCTATTAATGTCCTATTCTTATCTGAAACTAATTTCTAAGTTCAAAGTTATATATTGAACTCACGCTTTAACTCATGTTATTGTGTCAAATAAGAATTTAAAAGAAAAGAAATGTTCCATTAACGCACTATCACTCGTGTATCTTATTTTGATCAGCTCTCCCAATGCAAGCTGAGCTTACTAAGCGTACAAGTCTACCGTACAGAAGTAAGTGCTATTATTCCACCATCCTAGCAATCTTGTATAAACTGGCATCACACATTTCAAACTCTCTTGGTATTTTGGTCATGTTTTACCCAAAGAGGATTTGAAAACTTATTGATTACATGCATTGAAGAGCAGGTTGAGTACTGGGGATGGAAGGAAACTGGGTGTAAATATTCTTCATTTTGATTCCATATGGTTTCATGTGAAACATATAAGAAAATGGTTTACTCGAAAGTATATATGGTTTCATGGTTTCATATGAATGAATATCCCGCTTGTTTTTGTATGAAAGTATATCTCATTTGAAATGGTTGTCTTTGGTTGGTCGATAATGACAATATGGACGATACATATTTTGAATAATAAGTTAACTATTGAACAATCAAATTCAAAATCAAACTCATGTGTGCTTTTAAGAGGTCTCATAGGCATTCCTGCACATACCCGTATGCTGAGGGTCTTTACATTGGTGTTTACTTTGATCATTAAAATATATTACAAATATAAAACACATTGTACATTTCTGATCATTTGGGTGTGTGAGGATCTTCAAAATCCTGCAAATGACTTCACAGGAAGCTAGAGATCAGGGCCCCGTCTTATAAAGAGTTGATATTAATTGCAATTTATATATCGATCACAACTACATGTATGCACATAAAAGATAGGGTTAGGGGACTGCAAACTTGCGATTGATTGGAGGACTTGCGACTGATTTGGATCAATCGCAACTCTATATAAGACGGGCCCCAGGTTATATACTAAATGCCAGCAAAAATTCCATCCATTGTGAGGCTTACTTTATAACATGATCATTCAAACAGACGATCAACCCATTGGCTACAGGAACCAGGTGGTCATTGTGTTAACTCAATGGGAATAAGAAAATTCAGTAGTCAACGGGTTAATATGATCATGGACCTATTACGGATGGACATTCAACGTGATTCTTTCTTTGATCCAATGATAGTCACCGCCTTCTGATTATGTGCATCTTAATGAGAACATTCAGCTGTTTTAACAATAACGACTGCGTCAGCATTTTGGGTCATTGACAAAGGAGCAGTTTCCCTCTGTTGGGTTTTGTTTGGATGGTGTGCTCTGTAACAGTGTGTCTTAAATAAAAACATCCCCAATGGGGAGCAGCAAAGTTGAAAAGCAGACGATTTTGGTGATATGAAATGTATTATTACTGATTTGCACACTTTCGCACACACCCATGACCTTTTAAAACAATTAGAAGGCCATGATCTTTATAAGCCCTGTGCGTTGTAACTCTGGAATATTATGAGGAAATTGGGGGAAACAGGATTTTAAATCACAACCAACCCAAATGTAACCTCTGTCTGGTAATATCAACACGTTTATCAAAATAAAATACAGTACACGGAACAACAATTTCCAAATATAAACCAGAACTGCACATCGATTTTCCATGATTTAAGCCAGTTATTATCTTTTGCGCATGTAGATTAACATTTGTAAATCCACTATCTTGATTCCGTCTCGGCTTTTTTGGCGGTGACCATCATGAGATCAAAGTGAAGAAACATGTACGGAATGTTATTGAGACGACATTGACGGAGACAATCACAATGAATTCGTTAAGAAAATGATGAATGTCCATTCGTAATAGGTCCATGATATGATCTACCCATTTTGTGCTTGTTTCAGTGTGTGAGGATCCTCCTAGGCCAGCCAGAGACTCACAGAAGGCTTCATCAGAGATGGCAGGTTATATGCCAGCTAGATCAGACTTCAATATGGTAAGTACTTGATGGGTGACGGACATTTGCTCAATTCAAATTCAATTCAATTGAAGTCAAATGATTTTATTTCCAAAAATCAATCAAATCATGAGAAAAAAAATGCACACATAAAGATTGATATCAAATGACATTTACAATGTAACAGACAAAATGAAACTTATTTTTTATTGAAATGTTGATAAGTAATAACGTATTTTAGGATACAAGATATTTAATAAGCATGGATTTTTAAATTGAGAAATCCACTAAAAATCAGAGCTTGTATTTGTGTGGATTACTCAAGAGAAAGAAAAAAGAAAGGAAGAAAGAAAGAAAAAGAAAGAAAATGAACACATGCACTGCTCTGAATTATGAGCTTTATGCATTAGAACACAGTCGAGCAGTGCATGTGTGTCTATACTCCCAACACCCGCTCAAACAACATTTGCTTCAGGGCTTCATGCTTCATTTTGGTCAAATATTTAGGGTTAGGGTTCGTGTTGCAATAGGGTTTTACATGTATGTGAAGTTTAGGGTTATGTTCAGGTTGAGGGTCAGGACCAGGGTTAAAATTATAAAGTAAATTGATTTTAGAAACTGACTTTGGGATACTTCTTGATGGAGCATGATGTCACACACTCACTTGGTTTTGTCAGTTGCGTTGACCCAGGATTTGGGGATTCAGGAATATTATGGAGAAAATCATACAGATTAAATCGCATTGGTTCAGTGTTATTTTTGTGTGAAAAGGAGAGGGTAATTTCTTAAAAGTTAAATTTCGGTATATTTAATTCAAGATGAAAAAAAGAAGGTGAAATTCAAAAGTAAATTATATTTTAGTTCAAATTTGGTGCTAGGTTGAAGCCTTGGGCTAAAGTCTAGTTTAAGAAGTTAAGTTTGACTGAGGTGTAAGTGCTATTTTACGATTATTCCATGTTTCCCTGGTTCCAAGTTTTATCCTCATTGTTACCTTTTTGTTTTGAGTTTAGCCATGGTAGTGATGATGAGCTGGAGAAAGAACATTTTAGATTTTCTTGGACTTTATTTATCTGACAGGAATATGATAATTATGCTGAGCTAGAGAAAGAACATTTTAGATTTTCTTGGACTTTTTTTTCTGACAGGAATATGATAATTATGCTGAGCTAGACATCAAGGACATATATTTCCACAATGAGACAGATGAGCTCTTAGAAGGTAAGTGGAACATTTTCATGCATGTATATTGTATGTGGGTGGGTGAGGGTTTCAAACTTGAAGATATTGTAGTTATGACTTTATCATAGTGACATACCAAAGGAAGTCTCAGCTATTAAAAGGAATGCCACCTCAGTGCTGTAAGAATTCTATAGCAATAATGTCCATCAATTGATGTAGCCTTTCATGTAATTATGTAGTTATTTAAATCTTGGAACTTTACTCACTATATGCCCCCTCCCCTCTTTCTCTCCACCCCCTCTCTTCTCTCTCTTTCTTTACTGTTTGTCTCTCGCTCTCTCTCTCTCTCTCTTTTCTCTGTCTGTTTGTCTCTCTTTCTCTCTCTATCTATCTCTCTTGCTGTCTCTGTCTCTGTGTGTGTGTCTGTCTTCATTCTTTCTCTCTCTGTCTTTTTCTCTTCCTCCCTAAACTCCTTTTTTTTCCCTTCCCCTTATTTTGTACAGAGCTGAAATTCACCACGGTGGATATCTACCATTCCAGACAGACAGAAAGATACAGGAGAAAGTTGTAAGTCATACTTGTTGCTTATTTTGCTGTATTACCAGTAAGATGTAATATATAAGGAAGGTAGTAGTGGCAGTTATTTTACCTGACTGCCAAGAAAGCATAAATGCTTGTTGGTAAGCAACCTGAGGACCGACGGCTTTAGGTCCTCTCCGAGGGACCTGGTAAAGAGGATTAATGCCTTACCAAAGGGCACTAGCGCATCGACTTGGTTTCAAAACCCGGGTCACCGGATTACAAGACCACTGCTCTACCAACTGAGCTATTATGCCTCCTCGTGATATGATTATTTCCATAAAAACTTTACTGTAACTAATAGTTATTTCACTCAAAAGATATTGTAGTGAGATACAAAGAGTAATAACTTTCGGATTAAAGTGTTTCCAGAAATAGCACAGTTTTTACAATAATCTTTGTAGATATTATTGTAGCAGGAGTAGTTAGTAGTTTGCAAGCAAGATGGCGATAAGATTAAAACTCAGCTGCATTCCTTCTGTGGGATTAAAAAGATGATAAAGTTGGAAATTTTATGTTTTCTCTTTTTTTTGTTGTCAGGAACAGTTTTATGAGGTCTCCTGTAGACTTTGGGGTCCTTTACCTAATTTTCAAAGATTTCTGTCATCTGAATATAGTAATATTTAGATAAAAGTGTATTAATAAATATATTCATGCTGTTTGACTCTCTTTTCTCTCCAGAATTGTCAGAAACCTGGGCTTAATCAACTTATTAAGAATTCAAAGTGAGTAGTTCTAAATGTTTTCAATTCCGGTACCCTACAGAGTAGTTTGATTGCATTTGTAGCATGAAATGTTAAAGAAAGACAGTCAATGTTCATTTACCATTCAGCTTTATGCCATACACCTATCATGAATTTGAATTTCTATCCAATTGTATTTCCACATATGACATAGTCTAGAGTCCAACCAATGATAGGCTTAGCAATCACAACAAAGCTTTATGTAGTATGCTATTTAGCTTGAGAGCTTGAATCTATTTACCAGATAGATTTATGCTTTTACAGTATTTGAGATTCACTCAAATTTGTATTGCATGACAGTTACATATATGGCTTGAGTTTGAGAGATGTGTCATTTCAATTCAATTCACTAATTAATGTGGAAGTATGGCTGAGCAGTTTAGACAGTTCCTGTCAAATCCACTCTATGTTTGCTAAATGATAAAAATAATGATATGGACATTTATATAATAGCGCAGCTACATATGAATATACTCTACTGCATTTGATACAAAGTCTAACATTATTACACTAGCTGTAGCTGAGCCGCCATTATATCTATGGTGCTAAAGCAGTCAAGGAATTACTTCATACTGTGTACCCATGTACTTCACCTGGGTGTAGAGTTGCAAATGTAGATTAATGTCTTACCCATGGATGTTAGTGCCGCGGTTGGACTCAAATTGCGAGCCATGTAATTGACAGTCCGGTGATGTATCCACCAGGCCACGACAGTCTCCTACATGTATCTCTTATGTGCATATTTGCAATAGCAAATACGTTGTGTTCAATATCAACTCTTTATAAGACGGGGCACAGTTTAGACACTTCCTTTCATATCATATCATCTCTAGTTTGATGTGTTTGCTAAATGTATGATGTACTTCTTGATTGTTGTTACAGTGGTGGAGAGAACACACAGCCAGGCAATCCGTGACATGGTGGACAAGATGCACAGACTGTGTCGTCTTCACACGCCAGTCGCCCATGACAAATTCATTGAAGGGCTCATATGTGAGTATGTGCGTGTGTGTGTGTGTGTGTGTGTAATTGTGTTTTTTACAGACATGTAACAATCGGATATGATTATTTACATCTGGGGACCGACCTTTAGCGTCACCATCTTACAGACGTTACTCAGTTTCAAGCCGGGCTCTGCCTGAACCAGTTTGTAGGCAAAGACAGAGAGCTGACCAAGTGACGAATGATGAGATAGACTCACATCTCCCTCATTATGATGATGGTGGCTTCTTATGTAGCCCTCATGCCTGTTATGCCATGATACTCCTGGTGCTCCAACGCTATTACCCCAGTCATAGCTGGTGGCCAAATATGTAGTGCTCTGACATATTGGCTATCCATTTACACCCGGGTGGAGAGTGGCAAATGCGGAATAATGTCTTGCCAAAGGCATTAGCAGAGATGCCAACCAGTACGATTACATCGTATTTAGTACGATTATAAGAGTGGAATACGATAATACGATATCACCTTTTAAAACCCATAAAACAGCGGAATTGCATAGAAACATGTACAAGTAAACCCCCGCAACCCCAACCAAAATTTTGCTTTACAATTTTCTCATTAAATTTTAATGAAAGAGCAAACATTTCACTTGACCGTACTTACTTTTTTACTGGCACAAGGCCAACGGGCCAGTGGAAGTGTCGAGTTTTCGGGACAATCTGATTTATGTCTCCAAAATCAAACTCGAATCCAGATCCAGACGTCAATATGACAATATATCCATGCTGCATGTCCAATGTGAAAAGGAAAAAAACCCACGATGTATTGAGTAGATATACCATGAGTTAACATATCAAGTATACCATCAGACATATCTCTCTATTTTCCTATCAAAATGGGCTGATTCATCAAACGATCCAATCTCCATGCATTGAGCATGTTCTGAAGGGGTGTGCTGTAGCGACAACCCCTTTAATACTGGTGTCATGTTTAAACAATTGTCAATTTTTAAGAGCTATGGTTGATATACAAAATAATATAAATACTTTATAGAGTGGTTTTATTGAGTTCCCTCCAGTTTCACTGTTGTTTATTCATCTTTATTCATCTTTATTCAAGAAAGTACATATAATATAGTAATAAAGATGTTACATAAAACCCAGGACCGAGATTCGAATTACATTGGATTCATCTCATGCAGGGTTAAACCATTACAATACACAATAACAAAACAGAAAAGAGAACATCATAATGTCAGTTTTAAAAAAAAATGAAAACATTAATAATTCCTAACAAAGAAGAAAACAATTATTATTTTCTTAGTTAGGAATACCTCACTATACATTTATATACCGTGGTCTTATCTATCAATGTCTTCTTAATGAGTATTAACCACAGATGTTGATATTGTCCCTGTATTTCTGTATGAATTTCAGATGAACAGGATCTGAAGACTGAAACCAAGAAGCTACAGGAATACAGAAGAAGTGGTATCAAGACATTTGTAGGTAAGAACCGAAATAGAAAAAAGCTATTATTTTCTTATTGGATTTCTTACATTATAGCCCTTTAAATCCATGATTCTTACCTTATGGCCCTTTAATGTTATATTTGGTCCTGGGGATATTTTCTTCATCTGTTATTTTTCTCCTCGAATGTTGGAGACTTGTGGTCACGTTCTTTCATTGTGATCAACACAAAGATTCTAGGACAGCTACCTCTGGAACACTGCTATTCCCTCACCCTACCCCCAAATCAACTTCCACATGAATTAATTATGACCTCAGGGGGTGTTTCACAAAGATCCTAAGTTGGACGTAACAATTATGGAAAACTCTTAGCATCTTTGAAAATATTTTGTAAAAGTTATTTTAAAAGGCATAAAATGTTGATTTAAATCATTCATATTTTCTATCATCAAGGAGGTTTCATGTTCTTGATGCGGAATTTGTGAAAAGTCTAAAATACTTGAGTTTTTGCTTTTGAATAAATTTCATTTTAAGGCTACAAATGGCTCTCCATAATGTTAAATCCAACTTAGAGATAAGTTCAGCTTAGGCTCTTTGTGAAACACCCCCCCCCCCCCCATTTTTGTCAGAGGGTAATTTTTGGAGAGGGTTATTTGTTCTAGGTTAGTGGACTAAGATTTTGTTGTCTATAGGGATAATCTTCCTAGGGCATAGTTATATTAAGGGGGTAGTTGCCTGGGTGAACATTTTCTGTGACGATATCTGTCTGGGGTAATGGTTGTACCTGGTAGTTGTGTGTGTTTGATAGTTAAGGGGGGGGGGGGTAGGTGAGATGCATAATAAAGTTATAAATATTCATCTCTGAAGTTGCAGAACATTGAGAAGCAGAAAACTGGATTTCAGATTAAAGATTGTGTTCTGAATAATTCTGTTTCATTACTCTGATCTGCAGGTGCTGATGTTTACAACCGATTGAAGTCTAGAAGAGAACAGATGAAGAGTCGGAAGAACCTACTGGGTGAAGTCGTAGCCATCACAAGGGATCCCAACGCCTGTGAGCAATGGCTCAAAAGACAAGCTCTTCTGTAAGTATCTGTGGTGTACATTGATGAGAGGCACACCTAAAGTTGTCGAGATTTATCCAAATTTCCATTCCATCTGTGATATTCATGATTTTGGGTTTCGTATGAAAGAAATGTTTCATATTTTTCATCCATGTGACGTACCACCTCATGGTTTAAAGTAGCTGCATTTTTATGCCTCCGCCACCGAAGGCATCATGTTTTCGGGTTATCCGTCTGTACGTCCGTCCGTACGTCCGTCCCGTTTGACTGTTATCACAATATCTCAAGAACCATTTAAGATTTAAACTTAAGACTCGTGAATAGTATTTATCACCATAGGAAGACGATCTGATTAGATTTTGGAGTACGTAGGTCAAAGGTCACAGGTCACAGAGGTCAACTTATGAAATTCCTTGTATTGAGTTTGTTAGCGCGATATCTCAAGAACCATTTGAGATTTAAACTTCAAACTTAAGGATAGTATGTATCACCATAGGAAGACGATCTGATTAGATTTTGGAGCACGTATGTCAAAGGTCAAGGGTCACAGAGGTCAACTTATGAAATTCCATACATTGAGATTGTTATCATGATATCTCAAGAACCACTGGAGATTTAAACTTCAAACTTAGTGATAGTGTGTATCACTATAGGAAAACAATCTGATTACATTTTGGAGCACGTAGGTCAAAGGTCAAGGGTCATAGAGGTCAACTTATGAAATTCCATACATTGACATTGTTATCATGATATCTCAAGAACCACTGGAGATGTAAAAACTTCAAACTTAAGGATAGTATGTATCACCATAGGAAGACGATCTGATTAGATTTTGGAGCACGTAGGTCAAAGGTCAAGGGTCACAGAGGTCAACTTATGAAATTCCATACATTGAGATTGTTATCATAATATCTCAAGAACCACTGGAGATTTAAACTTCAAACTTAATGATAGTGTGTATCACCATAGGAAGACAATCTGATTAGATTTTGGAGCACGTAGGTCAAAGGTCAAGGGTCACAGAGGTCAACTTATGAAATTCCATACATTGAGATCGTTATCGCGATATCTCAAGAACCACTGGAGAATTTTCACTTCAAACTTAATGATAGTATGTATCACCATATCATAATATCTCAAGAACCACTGGAGATTTAAACTTCAAACTTAATGATAGTGTGTATCACCATAGGAAGACAATCTGATTAGATTTTGGAGCACGTAGGTCAAAGGTCAAGGGTCACAGAGGTCAACTTATGAAATTCCATACATTGAGATTGTTATCATGATATCTCAAGAACCACTGGAGATTTAAACTCCAAACTTGTTTAAATTGCTCTATGGCGGAGGCATCATTTTCGACTGCGCGCAGTCAAAATTCCATCTAGTTTACTTAATGAAATATTTTCCAGGTCACTCACAAACACAAGGTTATTTCTTTACCATGTACTGTAGTTTGCCTGGGGTGTGTCTTAATTATGAATGTCTGGCATTCAAGCCTCGGGAGTTGAGACAAAGTTACCTAACTTTGGAAGAATATCCAGAATAAAATGTAAAGTAAGGTACTTTGACTTCATTTTCACATATCAGGCTTAGAGCTGATTATTATGTGTTGACCTTCTGGCTATATAGTAAATTGAAAGTGATGAGGCCTTTGTATACAGTATATGACATGATGTCTATTCATGTACATGTAATCCCAGTTTAGGGGTCTTTTAATTTTCATATAAGTTAAGAATAATTCAGGATCATGTTATCAATTAATTCTCAATGTTTGTCATTATCTTGATTCACAGTGATACTGGTCACAAGGAATTGCCTCCGGTTATGGCAGGCACAGGTAAAAATGAGTTGATTTTTTAAAATACGTTTATGTAAATTTATGTCTATTTAGAATTTATATATCAAAAAATGTATCAAAAGGAACCTAAAGTAGTCTTGAGATTGAAAAATGAAGAAAAAAAACTGTATCTGGGAAAATTCCTGTTGAATATTAGGAAGCACAGGGAATGGTGTCTACAGTTAATGGATTGGAGAGAAAATATGAAATAGTTGAGTAACATACAAATATAGGTAGGAACATTACTGTGGGTTGGTCAGACTATCTACGAAATTCCTTGTCTTCTCAATTATCAGCCATTTTGCTGCTTACACTGCTCAAGTATGTATAATTTTTAGCAAATTTATTCCACATTTTTTTGTGATTGAGAAAAGCCTATGTATATTGTGTGTCAGTAGTCAACAATAGGTTAATAATTTTTTTAGACATTTTCTCTTGAAATACAATGTGATATTATCCCTTTAATTTCTCATGGTATTCCATCACCCTTTAAACAATTTTTTTTTTTTAAGGATAAGAGATAAATAACAGTACACTATGTATAATGTTTTTTTCTCAAATCAACATGTTATTGTTGTTTTGTGGTTTCCTAACTCTAACTTATTTTAAGATAATCTAACTTATTTTTTTTTTACATTTCAGCTCGCAAGCAGACGCCACCACTAGATCTGACTGGTTTTGTTGGGTACGACAAGCTAACTGAAAATGAAAAGGAGGTAAAGAAGAGACTTATTGATTTGTAAACCTATGTACTTGTCAAAACCCAAATGCCCTTATTCTACTAATTCAGGTCAACCCAACCTGGGGTCCAAGAGCAAGTTTAACAAAAGGAAAAAGAATAATTTCCTTTGTTAAATCAGACTTAAGACAAAAGCTTAAACCCAGCTTGAGTTTTAAATTTGTGTAGGATATATAGAAGCTGTATTGTAATTTATTATTTTTATTTACCAGGTATTGATTTTTTTATTGCGATGCTTGAGTGGCAAATGCATCATACTTCATTCATGTCATTTGGTATTCAATAGAATAGCATACATCTATGAGAGGAAGTGGATTACGTGATATGATTGAAGCCCCACTGCACTACGTATAACTACTTGCGCCCTCTATATAGCAAACAATGCCTAAGTGGTACCTGTTGGTCCCCCATGATTCCCTTTTTCTCATGTTAAGTGAGAGCTGATTTGATGAGATAACTACCTGTCAGTGACCATGCAGGGAGGTCTAATCCCTCCTGGCAAAACTAGTGCAGACAGGCTTTAAAGCTTACTTGAAGTTGATCAAGTATTTGTACATTTTGTTTTTTTCACAGCTTTGTGCTACATTGAGGATCATCCCAGAGGCATACTTTGAATACAAACAGACTTTCCTCAGTGAAGCTCAGAAACTGGGATTCCTCAAACTGAAACAAGCTAGGAATCTGATCAGGATTGATGTCAACAAGACAAGGAAACTGTACGACTTCTTTGTGAGAGAAAAACTCATCAAAGCATCATGAAGAGAGATTTAACAAAGGGTGAACTGATGAAATTTCCTCCATAGTGAATCGAGCTAGAAATCATCAGGGTATGCCTTAACCAGACTAGGAACTACACGACTTGTTCATCAGAGACACAATCATCAAAACATTTTGAGCCTGAGGAGACACTTTAAGAAACTGAAACAAGCTAGGAATCTTATCAGAGTAGAAGACTAGATGTCAACAAGATTAGAAAAGGCAATGTCTTCTTTGTCGGAAAGAAACTCATCAAAATATCGATGAGACAAACGAAAGAAAAACAAAAATTGAACAGGTGTATCATACAGATTCTTCAGACTGAAGCAAGCTAGTAAACATATCAGGATGTCAACAAGACTAGGAAACACAACATCTTCTTTGTCAGAGAAAAATTTGTCAAATCAGGAGAATTGATAAGAAACTTAACAGATTACATGGTTTCCCCGTTGCCTGAACTACAAAAAATGCTTGATGGTACTCTGAATGACAATATCAAGAATTCCATGCAGATAATCTTTGGGCATTATGACATTCTAAAAGCTAGAGGACATGCATGCAAATCCCTTTTTTTTGGGGGGGGGGGGAGTTAATCTACAGTTAATCGGTTTCATAAAGCCTTCTGTACCCATCAATTGCCAAGCAATTAAACCCTTCAGTGGCTAGCTGTTATAAATGCGTTCATCATGCATTGTACAAAATTCTACTTTCTCATAATCTTCTCAGGGCTGTGCAGCCTATACAAAGATGAACTGAAGATTGCAAAAGCGATATGAGGAAGACAAAAAGAATTTATACGATTATGTAATTCCTGTCTTGTCCCAAGCAGAGTTTTTATTAAACACCCCAGTCTCAATACCCCAAAGCTGACCAATTATCCGCCATTCGGGGTAATGTAGTGCTATGTTCAGTCTATTGACGGTCTGGCGTCGGCCTTGCTGGTGTGACTGAGGTATCGGGTTAATGCAATATGTCATTAGCATGATGCTAGAATCAATGTTCCTGTCATTTATATTCCGAGTTCATAGTGTAAATGCTTCTGTAGGCATACCTATTTATTAGAGGAAAAATAAAGACTGAGAATACATTATTCTATGACATTGATTTCTTTGTTTTCATTTGTGTTATGAGGTTCATAATCATGATGCCTACCATATGTTTCTAGTTATAGATTATTTAGCATCCAGCTAACAAACTATTGTCCATATACAAGTATGCACAAGGACTCACAAGACACAAGAATGAGCAATTGCTACTAATTTTGTTGTAAAATCATTGTGGCAACAATCATTGGCAATACTAAAATAGGGACCTTTAGATTTGCACAACGACGACGTGGACTGCTACGTGTGACGTCCTTTTTAGGCCTTAAAAGGACGTCACACGTAGCAGTCCACGCAAATTTAAAAGTCCCTATAAGATGTAACATTCACTCACTACACAACCTTGCAGAGTATATCAATTTTGAAAAATGAAATTCATAACAAAATATACAATGCACAATCATATACCAATGTCTTCTAATTTGTATTCTTATCAAGTTTATTTTATAACTTGGATATGTTTTTAATGTAATGAGACAGATGTGACATAAAGCAAATAGCCGAATGCATATTGTACCATGAGATCAAATATTATAAAACTTTCTCTTGTGCCAATGTAACTAAATGCATTCATAAATTATCAAAATTCAGCCATTAAAAATACACTATCATCTGTCTTTTTGTATGTTTGTATTTATCACCATGGCAAATTTTGTAATAATATAATAATAGAAATGTATCTGTACTAACTATTCTATCATGATGTCAACGGACAACAATTAAGCAACTTTAAGAAAAGGTTGAGTTCTGGTAAGGTGACAAAATAATTCGGTAAAACTTTTTAATCTTTGACAGAAGAATATCATACTACCAGTAGTAATATCCCTTGTAAAAGATGACTAGTCATATACTCTGATATTTGAAAAATGATGAGAAATAGCTTAGAAGTTTAGACCAAACTTGAGTGTAGTCTCTCATGTCCATTTATGTGTGCAGCGCTGTTCATCGTTTGTGATGTTTAGCTAGATTGTCAATTTCTCATCATTTTGATGATTTAAAACACCCAAAATAGACAATTATTTCATGTACGACTTAATCAACCTTTCTCAATGATTTCTTTCTCGTTGAACAGCTAGATGAAAAGTCAACTTCATTTTTAATCTTGTATTCCAAATTTCCAATATAGTAGGTCACCTTGAAATCATTATTTTATATAATTTATTAAGTCTCTTTGTTTCTTCTTCAGGATGGCTTCATCAGTGATTGCAACACTTTTTTACAAGAAGGCCTTGGTCATGTATGTACTGTACATGTTACTAAATATAAGATGCTGCATCTTACAGAGTAGATTCGTGGTACAACCATATGGATAGTCCTTAAGGACTGTTTGTATTATTTCTCGTTGATTGAGAATTTCTCAAAAAAGGACTGAGAATCATTAGAGATACAGAAAAGCGAATATATAAACCATATAGAATACCAACCCAAACAAACCCTACACGTAAATGAAAATTTAAAAAACAAACAGAAATGAACACTCCCACTACAAAAAATAGCGTACATTCTCTGAGGGTTCAAATCCTAGACTGGCATTAGCGTTCTTTGGTGTAAAAATGGTTGCCTATCAATGGTTGAGGTAAAAATATTTGCAGAGCCCTCGAGAAGAACAGCATTGATGCTGAATGAGGCTTCTCTGGGTGAACAAAATAATGATTATTATGGAAGCACTACAGATGTGACATAATTATATACAACTATTACTTCTTAGTTTAGGTGTGAAAATACAAGGCATCCTTAGTCAAGTACAAATAGGAATATGGTACACATACCCCGCAGCCCCTCCAATTATACTCCAGTCTCTAACTGGCAATGTTTGAGTGTTTCACATATTTGCCAAATATTTTCCCTGGATGCCCTCAACAAAGGTATTCAAATCTGTTTTGATGAACGCACAAACATTATTATAGAGTTTTTTGTTGATTTGGTTTCTTTTATTTGGAGTGGACAACCTGTTTATATATTCTATATTATGTGAGATCATATAAAATTTGAATAACGTGACAACATAACACAATAAATTTCCTTTTAAAGGATGATTAATCATTTCCATTTTAAAATATCACGAATACAAACGATTCTGGCCCATAAAATACAGTATACTACCAGCATCGTACCATAAAATGGAGAGAGAAAAAATGATTACATAAGGCACCATTTTGAACATCGATGAGAGATGAACCCGCTGACTACTGAATTCTCTAATTCCCATAGGCTTAACACAGGGACTACCCGGTTCCAGTAAGCAATGGGTTAAGACACGGATTTCTAATTCTGAACAGGGTTGCACAAGAGATGGCGCCCTCCATCTATGGTGACGGTTTCTCCTGTGGTGAAGGACGAGTCGCTGGATGCCAGGAACGCAATGAGCTTGGATACCTCATCCACCGTACCAGTCCGGCGCATGGCGTGAGTCGTCTTGGAATGCTCCAGGAACTATGGATATTGAAATTTAAAAAGAAAACAGAAAATTAATGCCCTGGGGTGGTACGTGCTCTGAAAACTTAATGTTGGCAAAAGATGTTAATAGACCATTTCACGGTTAAAAAGCACATGTCCCGAATGACCCTGAATATCCACAAATCTTCAAAACATGAAGAGGTCCCACTTTGTACATTTTGAAATAATCACTCCTACAGCGATGGAGTTTCCCCTTTTCAAAGAATACTTCCACCTGTGTATCTTGGAGTGCTCTGCTTGTGCATAAGTGAATGCTGATACATAACTTTCATGAGCACGTATCTAGTATTTTGTCTCCGTGTATTTCACAATTTGGTCTGCAATGACCTTTATCTGCTCATGCTCGGACTGCAACCGTGAACTGGCTTATTGTTGAGGTAAATCTCCATTAGGATGCATTATTATTTAATTTAAGAACACCACTCGCTCCATATGCCTACAGATTAGAGAGGTGTCTGCACAAGCACCAATGATGTGTTCATTCCGAGCAGTTTCAATTGTTATAATGATATTAATAATATATGAGATTTGTAAGGTACCAAATCCACATGAAATTAAATGCTCAAGGCGCACTGGTGAAACAAAAACAAAGAAACAAAAAAGAGATCACATGCAAGCATCTGCATTCTAAACAAAGGAACAGAAGTAACGATGAAAAACCAAATACTTATGCTGAATAAAAGGTATACCTTTATATTAATGACAATTATTACATACACATTCACTAACATACAGATGACATAGAGCCCCAGATGGATGCAAGAAGAAACACTAGGGGAGTGTTTCACAAAAACTAAGATCGACTTTAAGTTGGACTTAAATATGGCAGTCCGTTCATGCTACTGTTTGCTTTCACCATTTACTGGCATTGGTCTCTCAGGGGACGTACAAATCATGGTCACAAATCTACAGAATTTACATTTTTTGATAATTCATTCGTGAAGATCACAATGGTGAGAGCAAACAGTGGCCTGAACAGGCCATAGTCATTAAGTCAAACTTAAAGTCGATCTTAGTCTTTGTGAAACAATCCCCAGCATGAATGTAGTTTAGTGGGTTGATCACAAAACCACTCTAAATTAGAGATTGATTCTGTTTTTAAACAATTGACATTTCTGATCGACACTCATTTCTAGATTACTCGCTATACAAATAGTTGGTTTTAAAAAAATCTCAAAATGGTGTAAGAAATAGACACAATTTATACAGGTTACATGTAATTTTCGTTCTAAAGTGAAATAAATAGAAGACATAAATTGACACCTTTGTGGTTGACAGAGATTTAAAGTTTGAACATCCAACAATTGTTGACAAGTAATATGAGCTTTTACTAACCTGTTTGTAGCGCTCATCGGACATACCTCCTCGCCGAAGAATCTGAGTTTGGATAACACCAGGGCTAACAAGGAAAAAAAGAGTATTTTATCATATAAATGTGAAGGTGAACAACATGTTCAACATTTATAAAGTTGATCATGGACACTAATTCAAATATGTGGACTTTCCTTCCCAAAATGGATGATTGTTTCCGTCAACATATCTATTTCACAATCATTCGAATGGTATATAGCTGGGAGCAAACGTTGGATCATCATATATGCGCAGGAAGATGGACAACTAAATGGATAGCTAAATTTGATGAGTGGATATTTAAATTGCATGATAGATATTATTCAATCTTTGTTTTTAGCTTGACACAAGTACATGCAACAGAAGATTGAAAAAGGTATGTAAGTACGGTAAGTACATTAAGTACCATACATAGGAAAATTATAGGAAATTAAATACATATGGAAAGACAGACAGAGAGAGAGAGAGGGAGAGACAGACATACAAACACACATAAAGAGATACAGAGATAGATAGAGAGAGAGAGAGACAGAGAGAGAGAGAGAAGGGGGAGGGGGATCAAAAACTCACTTTACTGCATTGACTCTGATTCCATGAGGTGCCAATTCTGTTAAATATAAATCAAAAACAAAATACTGTAGCATTATAGTCAATGGTAACAAGAATAATCCACTCTTATCTAGCGCGTACTCATTACAATAACATTTCAATGCACTTCCGCAGGACTTTGGATATTACTACCCTGGCTAATTACCGGTATAGCCACCATAGGGCAAATGAAAGTAAACATTTTTGCACTCTTTATCAGAATCTAAAAGAGATTTTCATCAACGAAATGAGTACAAAACTTTGGGCCTTTACTTCATAATCATTTGATATTAAATAAAAGTATAACACCACAAAACAACAAACTTACCTTCAGCAACACATCTTGTCATGTGGTCCAATGCTGTCTTAGACATACAGTATGTCAATACTCCACGCATCTATGTTGATAACGATAGAGAGAAAGGGAGTGATAGTGTGGGAGGGGAAGAGAGAGTAGGAGGGGAAGAGAGAGTAGGGGGGGGGAAGGAGGGAGGGGCAGAGAGAAAATGAGCATGAAGGAAAGTCGGAGCAGAGGGGAGAAGGAAAGAGAGAGGGAAAGATGGAGAGGAAACAGGGAAAGAAAGAGAGAGAGAGGGATCAAAAGATAGACAGGGGCAGAAGAAAAACAATAGACGGAGGGAGGGAGAGATAGAGAGAGAGAGAGATAGCAAGAGAGAGAAAGAGAAAGGGGAGGTGAATAGTTAATACAATTAGGGACTTTCTCTTACTAAGGCAGATATCCACAATCGTCAGTTTTCTGAAAATGTTTTGATATGGTTTACACAGAACTTCCAGTATTTTTTTTGATCGCAAGGAAAACAAAGTGCAATAAATGAACTTCTTTCAGATGAAAGACATGTTCCACTCTGAAGCTAAAATCTTTCGAAAAATAATGTTGGAAAACAAAGTCAATATATTCTTGTGAGGTAATTTACCAAGTTCCACTAATTTCATCCTAATTTGTTCAGTCAGAAATAGATTATCTTGTAAAGTACATAAAGAGGAATAACACACTTTACTTTCAAAATCTCAGAAAAATTTCTTTCGCAAATGTGTCATAAATGTTATTAATTCAAAATAATGTGAACAACCTTAACAGCAACGCACATCAAGAGAAATGATAGATAAGAATAATATATTGAATTAAATCAATATTGATATACTTACAGCTCTGACACCATTTACACTGGATACATTCACAATAGTGCCTGTCAACATAAAAGCAATGACAATTTACAGATATGAATAAATATGAAAAACAAGTGTATTTTTTAAAATCATTGGTCCAATTTCAATAGCTTTGATTGCCAGCATTTTTATTGGGGGGGGGGGGGGGGGGAGGGGGCATCATTTGTTTCTGTGCTGCACAGCTAACGCAAGGGAGGGTGCCTGTCTTTCTTTCTTCTTTTTGTGCTCATGATTTGTATTATAATTTTCTTACATTGATACATGCGTGATATGAGTTACTGTCAAACCTGTCTACAGCGACCACCCAAGGGAACACAAAAAGTGGCCTTTGTAGACTTTGTAGACAGGTTCCTTTAGTACATGTTTCAATGAGAAACCATGTTCAAGGGAAACAAAAAATGTGCTTGTTGTAGACAGGTGGTCACTAAAGCAGGTTTGACTGTATTTTGTCATTCATGAGATATTCTGAGCTCATCATCTGTTCACAACACACAATTATTTAAATTGACTGCTATAAAATGGACGTTTATGGACTTGTGTCTGAATGGACCTTCATATCGGAAAGGGTTTTACACTCACCTTTGGTTTTGATTAAGTGTGGTGTCAGGAGTTGAGTGAGCTGAAGGGGTGCTCTAACATTCACTGCAAAGGTCTTATCAAAAGATTCTAAAGTAACGGTCTCGATTGAATCTGGGATAACGATTCCTGCATTGTTAACCTGCAAATGCACAAAAGAGACAAATCATAGAATAAATTTGAAATTGAAATTGAAATTGATTATTGAAGTGGAATATAATCGTCGGACTCATACAGGCCGAAGTCTGATTTTCCTTATGCATTTTGTAGGATAGACATTTTAAAAGACATTCTTCAATGAAATAACATGCTTCTGCTTGTTTTGCATGTTTACATGTGTTAGACTAATGGTCTCAAGAGATCAGTAGAAAATTACAAGTTCCCAAATAGTGTTTCACAAATGTTGCACTGCTTTATGCAAGAGTTCATTGTACTTTGGGTACACAAATGACAAGGGAAGAATATGCTTTATATTCAGCACTAATATACATGTACACTGTACCTGCAGATTTTCCACATTAGAAATTAGCAATATAGTATTTCAAGGCAATATGGTATTTCATGGCAAAATCACTTTTTACAAACACATGTATGTGTTTCTATGGATTTTCAAAAAGATTTACAGATAAAGAGATTCATTTAGGGCTCACAGCATAAGTTTAAAGGTGAAAATAGAAGTGGTTGGCAGCTACCCTCATCAGAATAAAATATGCAGTACATCTTCAAACTTTTCATTATTTTTTTTTTTTTTTCAGAAGGAAAGTTACATCATGATATGAGGTGATAATGAAGTGCGTTGACTTGACAGCGATTCTTACCAGTACATCCACTTGGTTGAATTTCTGGATTGTTTGTTCCGCAGTTTTCTTCACATCAGCTTCCAATTCCAAACTAGCCTGGATCATTAGAATCTTGGAAAAATATTGGAAAAGTATAGCAGAATAACATATTAAATACGTGTTTGGTTTTAGTATATTCAAGAGTTACATTTCTTATTTTTAGTTCATTAGTATTTGAAATCAATTCATCAGAATTTAAGGAATAAACATTATTTTATTAGAAAATTCTGTCTACTTTACAGGTGTTTTTTCTTCTTCCTCCTTCCCACTGCTGTTCTAATGGATGTCAAAACACATAGATAATTGAGACATGGATCATATGGTATGCATGACAGTAGGTAAGAGCCGAGAGAGTGAGTGAGACTGAGAAAGACAGACAGAGACAGACAGACAAAGAGAGAAAGAGAGAGAGAGAGAAAAATTTACTGACCACTATGCATGCTTCAATGAAAAATGCTACAAAAAGACTGGTCATCTCGATTTAGCATACCATCAAATACAAAAGCAGACCTTTTTCCCCCCCCCCCCCCCCCCCCCCCCCCCCCCCCCCCCCCATCATGCATGATGAAGCTCTTTGAACAAAAATGTTCAACTTCTTTTTGAATTAAATAGTAGACTATTCATTCTACCTGATCTCTATCAAGTCCTCTGCTAACACATTCATCGGTGACTGCTTGTAAAGCATCCATGTTCCGTCCCGTCAAAGCCAACCGACATCCTAGGGAAGCAAAATGGCGGGCAGTCTCTGCTCCAATCCCTGCGCTGGCTCCTGTTTGGATGTACAAAAACATAGTTTTGGAATATCTGATGATAATGGTCCACAATAAAAATGACTATGGTGATGAAAATGATCAATGATGAAAATAATTACCAATTACCTCCAATAGTCAATACATCATTCAGTAGAGACTAGAGGTGCATGGCTGATTTAAATTGGAAAGATTCTAGCTCTCCATGAATGAGAGACTGTCTGCAATATTGGAGGATGGAGATTCGGTTGAATACAAATTAAAGGAGAAAAGAAACAAGAAGAAGAAGCTAGCCTTGCATCATAGTACACCTCATCATCATCATCATTTATTCTTAACATATCACTATCATTGTTATTATTAATACTAGATCATGATATCATCATAATACTTAGTCTATATTATTATCATTATTATTATCATTGTTTTCATTATCATCATTATCATCATCATCATCATTTTTTAAAGATAGCTAGATCTAGACTATTCAATGAAATATTTTAATTTTATCAAAATCTTAATCTATTCATATAATATGACAAACCCTCATAACTTAAGTAACAAGTTATATATGCTGCTGTAGCTGGTCACAGCTTTTATCATGTTTATAATTGACAAAGATCTGACAAAACAACAAAGATCCACAGTAATTTCCATGACCACGGTCTCTGGTCTAAAGCCCGTGGCCATGGGCCCCGCTTCAGCCGCGCCACCCCAGAGCTCAGAGCTGAGACGACACCATCTTCAGCTCAAATAATAAATGTGATTGTGAGCTGAGGGCCGAGGAAGAGGGCGAGGCCGAGGCCCGATCGAGGCTGAGCTATATTACGTTAAAACGTTTTAATAGTTTATTAAAAGTCGTTAGAACAATAGAAGTTAGAGTTAGACTCGATCGTTACCTGTAATAAGGGCAACTTTTCCCTTTAACGAACCCCCGAGTGTTGCTGGAGCTAGTGCGGCCATATTTGAATACTGGTACAACTTTCAGTAAAACTAAAACGATTTAGATCAAGTCTTTTAGATAAGTAGATCGAGTCAATCCACATCCAGGTCAATCAAACAATGGGAGTGACCAATATGGGTACGGGTGCAGTGTTGTGTGAAATGTTTCTGTCACGTGACTGATCTGAGCTGAGGAGCTGCATCACCTGATACAAGTGTGGATGAAGCTAGGGGGGTACGGTACCGGTAGTTAGTTGGCCACGATACGTCGACGCGACGTCAATTCCATCCAAAAATGAATGAAAAACAGTGTTGCGGGTTCCCATTCATATGGGATTCTATCTAATATTCCAGCAGATTTCCATTCAGCAGACTTGCGAAACTATTTCTCTCAGTTCATAGAATCCAAAGGATTTAGCTGCTTTCATTTCAAACATCGCCCGGAGACAAAACAACGAGAAAAGGAAAAAGATGACCCGTCGCATGAGGAATCTACGAACTCCAACGGACAAACACCTGATCGGTCCCCTAAACTTGGGCGGCACAATGAAGCAGCGTCCGCTGGATCTTCGTCTGCTGCTGAAGATGTACCGGTCAAGAGCATGCCAAAGACATTTTGCTGCGTCTTGAAACTGCAAGAGAACAAGATGTTGAAGTTTATCAAGATGTATCACAAGAAACCTTGGATTGACAAGAAAGGGGCCGTTATGTCAAGCAGATGTTTCATATCAAGAATCAAAGTTGCAGAAGCCGACAAATCTGCATCTTCCGGAAGTTCAGGTAAAAATTGGACCAGAAAAGGCAGAATGCATTTTTTCAAGAAAGAAATAGACCTATAAGGTTTTGAGAATCGAAAAATAAAACAGAAAAGACTCTCTTTTCACTTGTGTAACTTTTTGATTAATCTGAAAAATATGACAAAATCTATAACAATAACATGATTCTAGATCTACATGTTACTTAAAATCTGTTCTTTATTAGGGAGGCCAATGCCCAAATCTAACTTTTTAATTACTAATTTGTTTATACTAAAAGTAAAACTAAGATTAAAAGAAAGCATTTACTTTCACTAAGAAAATCCACCCATCTGCCGACTCCAGAAGTTCCATCAAATAGGAGATATCCAGCTCTTTTTATCCAGCTTCCTTCTACGCCTTTCCGTACGTAAGAGCCTTGAAACAATTATATTTCATGTCGCAAAGTTACGTTCATAATTAGACAGGCCCGAGGGACAAAGTTCATGATGAAGTTTAAAACTTCGCGCGAAAGTGCAATCACTCAACAGCGGCTAGCCTTGAATCGGTCGCACACGTACACACCTTCTTCTTCTTAGTTGATCCCACCACCGACACAGGCAAGCCCCGATGCAGGCTGAAGTCCAGCCATCAATGTGCGAAACGATTACATCTTCTACTACTACGAGCCGAAGACGATGGTTCAAAAATGAAGAATAGAAATATATATAATTCATTGATATTTACCTTAGATGTGTATTCCAATAATTTGATTTCCTCATGAGTATTCCTTATTATCAACGATCGAGAAGTTACGAGGTCCAATTAACATCCATCTTGCAGCGAACACAATCATAGCGCACATCCATGCATGCAACGTACGTGTACTAATATTTCTCTCACTCTCTCTCTCTCTCTCTCTCTCTCTCCCTTTCGCTATACGTAACATACACACTCACTAACCATGTATCATACAACACACACCTTCAAATCATGGCTTTCATTTCAATTCTCAATTGGAGTATAGACTGCTCACGTAGACTTTTTTTTTTACTGAAATATCTTTTTTAACACTTCTCATACATTACTGCACGACACTCGTATCTAGTGCTGTGAGAATAAGGTACTAGGGTCTATAAATAAGACTACGCTTTGCGCACGATCTGACCGGTGCTCAGATTATGTCGCAATACACTAGTTTACAGTTGTATCAGTGCGCTTGCGCAGACAGTTGACCTCGGGTCATTGGCCCCAAAATTGGGGCCAATAACCTCTGACCTCTGGTATTTATGCGTAAATTAAAATTGCGCCCATGCAAATGATGATGTGCGCGCACAACGCAACGCGCAGGCAGTGATGTCATCATTATTTGCATGGGCGCAATCTTAATTTACGCATAAATACATGACTCCTAGGTCATTAGCTTTGTTTAAAATGGCGCACACAACTGTAAACTGGTGTATACCCTTTATTTTTGGCGCGAACAATGACGTCACTGTTCACTGTTTTCCTTCTCATTTTGAGATGGATGTAGCTATAGGGCTCAAACCAACGCACGATTGACAGAAACATCGTACATCTACTTTCGAATGTTCAGTTTTTAAAAATCTGTATTTAAAAAGATATAATCTTTTTTCTTTATATTTTCTAGTTGTTAGAAGTGGCAATTATGAACATCTGAAATGTTGATCTCTATCAAAAGTTCTTTACTCAAAACGGATCCATATTTTTAGGGTCTACCTTCTGCCAATGAGAAGGTTTTTTATGAGCAAACCTCTACGCCCTCTAGGATTTTCTTAGTCGGTGGGTGCGAGTGCGTCAAGGGCGTCTGCAACCACAATTATTGGATTAAAAAACGTCAAAATCTGCAAGATTGTCAACAAATGGTGAAAGACTGTTACAGATCCGTGATTATAGGTATGTTGTGAAATGTATAATTGTTTTCTTTTCTTATTTTCTTCAATTTTATTTTTACATCTTTTTTCCCTTTGCTAATTTTTGAAGTGGGCGACGAGCGCACAAATCGTAGGTGTAGAAGCCTTACGCCCGGGCATTGGCCTCCCTATCTTTATCTTTCTTCATTTGTTTCTGAGTGAGTGTTTTCCCCAAAAGTTTGTAGTTTGTTCCGGAAAATTGTAACTACAATTTAAGAGATAGTACTCAGATTTGTTGCGGGAAGTGGGAATTCTGAGGTACGGCCGTACGGGATGTACTATGTTGTACTTTGTACATTCCGACTTGGGCTATTCCGTTTAGTTTCATCTGTTAGTACACCATCTGAAATGGCATTCCATTAAAAAAAATTAATGTGTTGCATATTATTACTGCATATTAACTTTCTAATTTTACCAGGAGAGGGCAAAGAATACACAACGCGAGGAGACAGCAGGCTCATCCCACCAGAGAGGGAGGTATTCACAGAGTCTCATCTGCAAAATCTGGTAGAGCTCAACCCTCCAGATCTGATGCCTAATGGTAACGTTGGCACACCCACCGCTGTGTTTCTGGAGTACATCCGAACCTGCCGCCTCCCCCCGAGGGTCATCCAAAACTCGGTCTCACCTTCTCAAAGACTAGGTCCAATAGGAGATATGGGAACGTTCCATTTGCCTACGGGGGTTACATTGTTGAGGGGCTGAGTGAGGAAGAGGAAGTGGCTGTGACCGCATCAGGTCAGGAGATCAGGATGAAGACACAGATATCAGGGTATCATCAGAGACTGGAGACCAGACCAGTAAGATGGGAAGAAAGAAGGATAGAAGGAAGAACACGAGTCACAATGAAGATGAAGAAGGAAATCAAGCTTCTGAATCTGATGAGGTATATATTTTCTCCATAACACTCTGAGGTAGCATACTAATTAGATGCAATACGATGGAACTCATTCATCTCTGCTCATTAAAGGGATCCGGTAACTTTGTCTCAGATTTTGAAACAAAATTCTGGATTTAGCTCATGCTGCAATGATATGTATAAACCTTTAGCTCAGTCAGGAACCCCATGACTTTTACATGCCGATCGCTTGTCTGATTATCAAGATATTTATGATTGGAATTACAAATTTTGAAAACCGTTCGCCGGACGGTTTTTCATAGCACTACAGTCTATTTGGGAAAAAGAGTATGGTAAAAACCGGTCACTCAAAGTTTTAACTTTTTTGAGGCACTTCTTGATCATTTGAAGCGCAATTTTTTAGGGCTTCAATATTACACCATATCACAGACACTGATAACGCGTAGGGCCGTGTATCTCAGATTTAACATTGTTAATCCCTTTAATCCCTTAATCCCTTAATCCCTTTAAATATCATGTAAAGTTTGGTCAAGTTAACCTCTGCACTGACTGCTCATCTCATTAGGGATGTACCGTAATTTTGAAAGAAGATTCTTTTAATGGATCATAATTACAAAGATGGTGAGGGGGAAGGGGGGGGGTCTGGAAGAAAATAAGGGGCCCTTGTCAGTGTGCATTGGATCCCTCTTTATGTCC